ATGATGATGATGATGATGATGATGATGATGATGATGATGATGATGCAGATCGACTTGATGTGGCAGACCTTCTTCCAGTGCGGCCTCTCCTGCTATGATGGGAATGCCCCCGTGAGCGTGAACAGACATCTCCGCAGTAGCCTCCCCTTCGGCTTCGGTTGTCACCTCGTCTTCCGTAATCGCTCAGTTCGCTGTCAGAGGAGCTCGAGTCTGAAGAACTGCTCCGTTGGGACTCATCATCTGTGCTTGTTTCCTCTCCGAAGATGCTTTCTACATCAGAGTTCAGTGAACTGTCATCTGCGCGGTAATTGTCATGTATTCTGTTGACCTTATTCTTAGTCTTGTTGAGGAGGTCTTTGCCCTGGCGAAACAGATCATTGTCTCTCAAGCCACTCTTGCCTTTCTCCTTTCTGTCCTTTTCTGTTTGTCCCGATTTAGGGGCAGGTTTCGCCTTCTTCTCTTCCTCCTCCTTAAGGTCCTCCGGGGTGGAGTGATCTTCCTCATCTTCCAACTTCTTCAAGACCTTCTGCAGAACCTCTGCTTGTTTCGCTGGAGGAATTTCGTCCAGATCCTCCAAGCATTCCTCCAGGACTCTATCACGTTTCCTATGCTTCAGAATCGCCTGGATCTTCTTTCGTAGGTCTTTTATTTCCGCTAAGAATGGGTTTTCAGCCACTGGCAATGACTTACGTGGGGTAACCGATGTCTTCCTTGGTGACTCGACTGGGCTGTCCTTCTTTGGGTCAGGTTTGTCCTCCGCAGTATTGCCACCTAGGCCTATCCAGGAGAGGAGTTTGTTCAACCTGCCCTGAACGTGGGGCGGTTTGGTCTCTGCGGCAGGTTCACTCTCCGGCACTTTCGCTGCCTCCACCGGGCTGCTTCCACCTCCCGTCTTCTCTGATGGCTTTTTGTCATCCCACATCACGCCAGTCTTTCCTCCCTTTTTTGGTTCTGCCTCCTCTTCTCTCTTCTCATTGTCTTCTTCCTCATCAGTACCAGTGTCAGGAGAATCGAGTTGCAATCGTTTTGCCTTCTCCTTCAGAGATTTCCCCAATTTTCGTAGCTTGCGTTTTTCATCACGGTCCATCGGACTGTCCTCCGCGATCCTCTCTCTCACCGCCTGAGCCAACTCCTTCGGAACTGTCAAAGCTCTACTCTTGGGCATTTTTTATTGCTGTTTCCGCTATGTGCGCTCGCTCTTGATGCCGAGGCTGGGACTATCACCTCGGGGAAGTTATCTGAGGCTTTTAAGCGAGAATTCTGCAATCACGCGGGATGTCAGCCTGCCTGCCTGCCTGCCTGCTGGTGTTGTGTTGTTGTTGTTGTTGTTTTTGCGGCGCGAGCAACGTGATCCGTTCGGAATGCACTCCTTTGGCACCTCCTTCTCCTCCTCCAGCCCGCCCACTGGTCTCGTGTCCGATGATAGCACATTTTCCGGAGTACTTTTACCACCTAGGGAAGAACAATGACTCGTGTTTAAAAAGTGCAAACCACGTGCAAAGTGTTTGCGAGGCCTTACCTTTTATCCGTTGGACTTTTATATTTGAACAATGGTGTCCTTGTAGGGTTTTTTTGTAGTAAATGCTGGTACCCGCAACTAGCAGCTGTTGTCAGATCGGTTTGCGCATAAATATGAAGACACGGCCGGGATTGGTGAGAGGTCTACTATTGACCTCTTTTGTTTTTGTCCTCAGTTCTGGCCTGATTCGGTTGAAGCGTTTGACACTCGTTGATCAACCTTCACCGATCGCTAACGGATGACACTGGCCCCGCCCAGCCTCGGAGTTCATCCTCAAGTTCCGCCAGCAGCCGCACGGCGGCTACTGTTATACGT